GCAGACGCAGAGCCACCGCGGGCCCGGGGGCGGGGCCGGGCTGGCTCAGCTGCGAGCGGATACCCGTGCGGGGGCGGCGCGCCTCAACACCACCGCGGGCCGTGGCCAGTGCGCGGTGCCGGACCACCGGCGGAGGGACTGCGGCTACACGGGGGTGGACCAGGGCCAGTGCGAGGCGAGGGGCTGCTGCTGGAAACAGGGCGGCCATGGGGCCCCTTGGTGCTTCCACGGCGAGGCGGCAGGCCCGGCCCCGGTCGAGGACCAGTGCGCGGTGCCGGACCGGCAGCGCAACGACTGCGGCTTCATGGGGGTGGACCAGGGCCAGTGCGAGGCGAAGGGCTGCTGCTGGCGGCCAGGCGGCCACGGCGCCCCCTGGTGCTTCCAGGGCCGCGGTGCGGCGGCCGCCGCCCCGACGGGAGGTGCGCAGTGCGCAGTGCCCGAGGCCGAGAAGCGGGACTGCGGCTTCTACGGGGTCAAGAAGGACACCTGCGAGGGCAAGGGCTGCTGCTGGCGGGAGACGCACCACGGGGGCCTGTGGTGCTTCCACAAGAAAGGCGGGGGTTCCGAGGACTCCGGCGGCTGGCAGCCCGAGGAGGACTGGCTCTTTCAGGGATCCGACGACCCCGCGAGAACAGAGCAGCCGCCAGCGTCAGTGCCGGCCTCATGGTGCCACGTCGCCCTGCGGCGGGACTGCGGCTTCATGGGCGTGAACGAGGGCTCCTGTGTGGCGAAGGGTTGTTGCTGGAAGCCGGGCGAGCACGGCGAGGCTTGGTGCTTCCACCCGCAGGACCCAGATAACGTGCCTACGCCGAGGCCGGCACCGGCGGGCATGGAGGCGGCCGCGGAGGTCGCAGAGGCCATCATCGGCTACGAGGCCAGGCCCTACACTACGCTCATGCACCGCTACAACGAGGCGAGCGACCTGTTGGAGAAGGCGCCAGTCGGGGCGCCTGGGCGGGACATCGTCAACATGGTCTTCGTGTGGCTCCGCTACTCGAAGATCCGCCAGCTGACCTGGCAGCGCAACTACAATACCAAACCCAGGGAAGTGGCCGCTGCCTCGGAACGCCTCAACAAGATCATCGCGTCGCGGTGGAAGAGCGCGGCAATGGGAGACAGGGACGTCTACCGGCAGATGCTCGGTTCCGTCGGGCGCGGCGGCAGTGGCGGCGACGGCCAGGCGATCCGGGACGAGATCTTGCACATCATGCACAGGCACCGCATCAAGGAGGTGAGCGGGACCTTCATGGAGGAGTGGCACCAGAAGCTCCACAACAACGCAACGCCCGACGACATCATCATTTGCAAGGCCTACCTCGCCTTCCTCCTGTCCGGCGGCAGCCTCGATGAGTTCTGGCGCGTCATCCACGAGGGCGGCATCACGCGCGACACGCTCCGCAAGTACGACCGCCCCATTGTCGCCGAGCCGGAGTTCTTCGGTGACAAGAAGGACGGTTTGATCAACGACTTCAACAATTATTTAGATATCCAGCTGCTTGCGGCAAGTTCCGCCGCCGTGCCAGACCAGCATTCTGGCTGGGAACTGATCGAGGGGGCACGGGTGGCCGTCACGTGAGACACCTCGTGTTTCCATGTTTGTGAGAGCCGTGATGAGGATGACGATGGTTATGGGGACGATGGGAGTAGATGGTGACGATGATGATGATGATGATGATGATGATGATGATGATGATGATGATGATGATGATGATGATGATGATGATGATGATGATGATGATGATGATGATGATGATGATGATGCTGATGTTGATGCTGATGCTGATGCTGATGCTGATGCTGATGCTGATGCTGATGATGCTGATGATGATGGTGATGATGACGATAAGGAAGAGGAGGAGGAGCAGGAGGAGGAGGAGGGATTATGCTTTATGATGAGGAGGAGGGTGGTGATGAGGACGAGGAATGATGATTATGGTGGTGATGATGTTGCCGATGTCGGCAATGCTGATGGTAATGATGGTGTTTTTGATGTTGATGATGATGGTGGTGGACCTGAAGAAGAAGATGATGATGATGCTGATCAGGATTATGATGATGATTCTGACAATGATGAAATGGATGATGATGATGATGATGATGATGACGATGACGATGACGATGACGATGGTGATGATGATGATGATGATGATGATGATGATGATGATGATGGTGGTGGTGGTGGTGATGACTATAATGCTACGCTGCTGATGACGCTGTTGATGATGCTGCTGCTGATGATGATGATGACGATGATGATGGTGATGATGATGATGATGATGATGATAATGATGATGATGACGATGATGATGATGACGATTCTGATTATTGGGCTTACGTCGCACGGCCGACCCCTTGGGGAGCTGTCGGTTGTTGCGTGTTGCTCCTGGGGACCTCGTGTGTTTCGCCCCAGAGAACATATTTGTCCTCGACGGCGGCGTGTATTGATGTGTCTGGGGGAGGCAAGGAAATTATGAAAAAGACGCAATTGAGGGTTGGCGCCGGCGCCGCTGCGAGAGGGCAGCCAGGCAGCAGAGTCTGAGGGGTCCTGGGGGATGTTTATAATATTGTGCTTGTTGGTGTGCTTGTTTCGTTCTCTTTCCATTGGGTTATTGGGGTGTACATCGAACGGTGCCTTATGGCTGTTTTTGTATACTCTTGTGCTTTTTCGATTGAACTTGAGTGTACCAGAGATGTCCGTCGCCAGATAGCTTCGCCTAGTGGCGCGCCAGACGGCTCCTCGGCTCGCTCGGTGGCCGCGCCCTGGCGGGTTGTCACCCGCGTCTCTCAGCGCGCGGCGTTTGCGCCTTCGGTGCCTTGTCGTCCCGCGCGAGAGAGATTTTTTTAGAAACAGATTGTGCGCCTCTTGGGGTTTCTTGGAACTCTTTTGGGACTTCATGGGGGCCTCTTGGGGGCCTTTTCGGGGCCTTTTGGGTTGACATTCTCAGCATTCGCCGTGCACGCATGGGGAAACGGGCGAGAGCCCACGTACGCAGACGGCGGGCATCTGTCAAAACAACCGAAGAACGATTATCGAATGGCCTTCGGCATATCCCGCCACCTTGCCTGGGTTGCGGGTCTGAGGCCACTCGGATGGCTAATGGGGTCTCGTGGGAGGCGTATCGTGGGCGTTTTGGAGGCAGTTTTTGAACCTTTTGAGGGCCTCCTTGGGGCATCTTGGGTTTTTTTTTGCAGCTATATTGTGGCTCCCTGGGGGCCTCTTGGGGGCCTTTTTGGGGCGACCCGGAGTCGTCTTGGGGTGGAAGACTCGAAATGCCGTTCGGGTTTCCCCTCTGGGTCCCCTTTTGGGTCTGACCTGGGGCCCTCCTGGGCCGTCTTGGGGGCTTCTTGGGCCGTCTTGGGGCCCTCTTGGGTCGTTTTGGAGCCCTCTCGGGAGCCTCTTGGCACGTCTTGGGGCGATCTTGAAGGCCTCTTGGGCCGTCTGGGATGTTGTGAACGCCCAAGAGGCGAATGTGCAAAAAAAACACGAGTTTTCCAAAGGGAAAGGGACGATTCTTCTTGGGGCGTCATGGGGGCCTCTTGGGCCGTCTGGAGGCCAGCGTGGGCGTTTTGGATCGATCTTTCAGCGACTCATGGCCCTCGTGGACCACCCCAAGGGCCTCTTGGGGCCCTCTTGGCCTGCTTCGGGACCCTCTGCCCCCCCGGATGCGTTCACCCGGATCCTGGGGGACCCCCCCCCTCCAAATCGACCGGACCGGGCTCCCGGGGGAGGGGTTTTGGGAGGGGTCAACATCTCACACGCTGATGAACCCCAAGGGGTCGGCGGATTTTGATTATGATGATGGTGATCGTGATGGTAATGGTGGTGGTGAGGGTGATGGTGATGGCGATGGTGATGGTGATGGTGGTGGTGGTGGTGGTGGTGGTGATGGTGATGGTGATGATGACGACGATGACGACGAGGAGGATGAGGAGGAGGAGGAGGAGGAGGAGGAAGAGGAGACGCAGCAGGAGGAGCAGGAGGAGAAGAACGAGGAAAGCCGTCACGTGTGTCAACTGTGGTTTTGACTATTTGAGGAGCTCTCATGGTGCTCGTTTGGGCCGTCTTGGGGCTGTCTCGGGCTCCTGTGAGGCAGTCTTGGGGGTCCCTTGGGGCTCTCTTGGGCCGTCTTTGGGTCTTTTACGACGTCATGGGGCTCTCTTGGGCCGTCTTGGGGCCCTCTTAGCCGCATGGTGGGTGTCTGGAGGCCGTTGTGGGCCGTCTTGGGCCCCTCTCGAACCGTCGAAGGGCCTCTTACGACATGTTGGGTTCCACGGAAGGCCCTCTTGGGCCGTCTTGAACGCTTCTGGGCCATCGTGGGGCAGTCTTGGGCCATCTTGGGATTCTTGTGCGGGCCTCTTGGTCTGTCTGAGGGCCATCGTGAAGGCTTCCTGGGACATCTTGAGTTAACCCAAGCCCGAGAAAGCAAGAATGCGAACATCATTCGGAAACTCAAGGGACATGCACGATGATATTTCCTTCGGACATTATTGGAGGTCCTCATGTGGCCCTTTTTGGCCCTCTTGGAGGCATCGTGGGCCGCCTTGTGGCCGTGTTCGGCCGCTTTGGGGCCATCTTGGGCCGTCTTCGAGGCATCTCGGTCCATCTAGGTGTTCTTGGATGTCTGCATGGGCCGTCTTGGAAGCCCTGGACGCGGATCCGTTGCTTTTAACGGGGGATCGTGGCCTCGGGGGGGTGAGCCCATTGTTTCTGTTCACGAGGGATCGTGGCCTCGGGTTGAGGGGGGGTTGCACGCAGGTGGATGCGACCAGAGCTGGGCACCAGACACGGGACAGAAACCCTACCAGACATCACTTCATTCTACCATGCCTCGACGTGCCAGGGGCCACAGTGGCGGATCCTCGAGAAGGTGTTCTCGGGCGCCGACCTGGAGAGGAGCTTTGAGGTGTCCCGTACGTATCTCGGGCATCACTTGGTGGCGCTGGTGCAGAACGTCCTGGACCAGCGCAGCGCGACGGGGGACGCGACCCTCGCCGTCATC